GAAGCTTGAATACAGGGCATAATCAGAGCCACTAATCCAGTTGATAACAGTGGATCCAGCCCTGCATACTCCGCCGGCCCTGCTCTCATTCAGAAGTACCGTTGCATTTGTCAAAACAAGCCTTATGATCATTTATCACACCGCAATAAATCCTGGCTTGAAATCCTAACGCACAGATGAGACGACTCCTCCATTATGTACAGACTCAGCTTAATTTTGGAAATATTTGAAAGAGCAGATGTGATTGGTTATTTTATTGAATTGTTGCCACTGGCAACATAATATTTGTGTGCTGGGAAATTGCAGAGGGCAGGGATGGAAGCAGCATTTTAGCCTGGAGGAGTCGAGAAAAAGAGGGAGAAGAGAGGAAGAGCTTGACTGGACTAAACTTTTTTTTTTTTTTGTGATGCTTTACGAGTATTTTGTTGGGCCTTCACTGTGCTGAGCAATTAACTGTTTGGCTGAAAGCACAGTGCCAGCTCTAGTGCTCCTCAGCTAGAGAAATGTGGGCCATTTATCACTTTTACAACTCATTTTCACCCCAAAACACTCCACTCTTGGGCTGGATACAACCTCACTGCTGCCATGTCCTTGAGTTCCTGGTGACAGGTAAATATACACTTCCATCCAAACACATGTCCCACATCGTCTATATTTGACTTATGGGAGGTCAGCCTGCGAGGGATCGATGTTGCAGTTCATTTTTAGAGGCTTGATGATGTCATGTTGCAGTGTACTGTGGGTTATGGGTCCATGAACCTGTTGCTGCCTGCAAGAAAGAAACAGCCTCTACAACTGACTGAGTCTGTGATGAGCAGACAGGGGTTTTTTTACGCACACTTTGAGGAGAAACTCGAATGAGCCGAATCTTGCTTGCTCTCTACTGTAACTTCAGCACATCACTCCACTGACAACATCCCAGTCCCGCAGGGATCATCGTCAGGTCACACAAGAGGGAAGAATGAATGGAGCGATGTGATGTTGTCATTCAAATGCAATGGATCACTTGAACTCCATTGCCCTGTTGTAATGACCCTGTGTAAGGACCTGTAATGTGGTTTTCCCATTGGGTTTGAGAGAAACCCTATGCCAGGCCATTCAGGTGCGCAATAAAGTGCTTTTCACTTTCTGAGGACTTCCTGTCTCCAGTGGCGTTCTCCATTAAGTCCTCACAGACAGACAAGAGCCCTTCTATTGGCCCAGACACTCTTTATCACAGCAGTTATTCCCCCCAGGTACGGCGCTACCTGGCCCGCAGATAAGATAGGATGCCGGCTGCCTGTCATTATTGGCAGATGAAGGCTATCTGAATATTGACAACAGTTTACACTCCTTGTTGAGAAACAAAGTTGGACTTGTGAGACAGTGGCACACAGGGCTTTTATTGTGCAGAGGAGATATGAAAACCCAGGTTCCCTGTGGTCACACACCCAAATAGCCTTATGTCACAGCTTGCCCCCCCCTCCTCCTCCTCCTCCTCCTTCTCCTCTTCAGTTGGCTACTATTTATTCCCACCAGCTGCAGTGATGTGCTAAAAAAGTTCTTGACACCAGCTATTGCTTTTCATCACTGCAGCTTCCGATTGCTAACAGGGTCCATGGTAGCTTTTTACCCTGCCTCTCTCACATGCTGTGTGCTAAAGGAGATACTCTGATACAGAAACAGAAACACGTACATTAAAAGTTAACACAGGGAACTTGGTTTAAGCGTCAGTTATTGAGGTTCTGTGCATAAAAACGCGTGAAATTCCAAAAGCAAACTAGACAGACCGACCAAAACAAAGACGGAATGCTGATGTGGTGTGGAGACTTTTTAATGGACGCGTTTACATTTCTTTGATCCGAAGAGAGAAATTCAGTTCCATAATTTACAGTCGTTTCTTTTTTTTATTTTTTGCCCTTTTGATATCACAAGGTTATGTCTACAAAATGGCTCGATATCAGTCTCTGCCAAAAAGACTGAGAAAAAAAGAAAAAAGAGAGAGGAAATATGGTTGTAATTTTTTTCCCTCCCCAAAGATTAATTTTAGATTTTCTGCTTTCGGGTCAGTTATTTAAAGGTGATAAGTTGCCACTTGGTCACAACTAAAATATGTCGAAATATTAATAAAGCCGTTACCTCTTTTAGACAAATGGAGGACTGACTTTTTTTTGGTTTCTTTTATTTTATTTTACCGATTTTAAGATGTCAATGCCATTTTTATTTGTACATAAACGCCAAAAAAATAAACAAAATGCGTTATTTAGTTTAATTTCCAAACGAAATAATTATAATTCGTTTTTTTATTTTTATAGATTTTTAATAATGTAGACACATTATAAAAATATGGATGATAACTAGGTAATAACAATACAATTATACATCATAATTTTACTTATTATTATTATTATTATTATTATTATTATTAATAATATTATTATTATTATTAATATTAATAATATTAATAATATTAATATTATTAATAATGTTATTATAATT